TGTACCTTCTAACAAATTAAATAAAATACAAAAGAATAATTTAAATAAACGTTTTACTCATCCAAATCACTAACCAGAATATTAAACAGAACGTGGGCTATTGGTATTGTTTATGGTCCCTAACAGTTGTTAAATGATTTAATTTAAGTTTATTATTTTCAGTGAACATATGATTTTCTAATTGCAAAAAATAATTCTATAACTAACTTCAGAATTACTTCACTTTTTACTGAATTATTTTGGCAGTCTATAAAATAGAAGGTGAGAAATCAGAATATGTTGTTGTTATTGCCGCAAAATTGATTTTGGTGACTGCAAAGTCGAGTTAAAGTCAGATGACAGTCAGTTTGTATATGAAACATATGTAGTGTAATTAATACCAATCATTTCTTAAAATTGAATACCCGCTATGTTGATTTTACCTAATTTTTTAACCAAAATCACTTGAAACCTTTTTTTATTGCATTTTTGAAATTTGAGCGTGCGGCGCAGCAATATGAGGTCTTGTTTTATAAATAAAATAAAATGAAACTCATTATATCAGATCCACCATGCTCCATGGAGCTCAAGAATTATTGTAAAAAGCTTATTTTCTATATACATATATCTATCTGTCTTAGCTATGACTAACCTATTTTGGAAAGGCCAATTTTTTTTTTAATATTGTGGTTGCTCTAGTGTTACACGGATCGACATCCTAAAAAATTTTAAAACAAAAGCAACTTTTTAATCTCAAGAGTCCTTTATTTTTGTCAAGTAAAAAATAATCTGCCTGCATTCTGAAAAATTCTAATTACCTCATATTAAACAAGATGGTACTTTAAAATTTTTTAATCTTTGAAGTTTATTTCAAAATTCTTATTTCCTTTTATTAATACCAAAAAATTATTTGTAATAAAAGATAATGTATAACTCTATAATAGTTCATTAAAGGTTTATATCTTGTAAATCGTGCAAACTTAGAGTTCCCCAAGACTATTTAGAATTTTTTACTAACTCGTTCTTAACTTTAACATGTTTGCTAATAGTCAAGTATAAAAAAGCTAAGAGAAGAAGAAGAATTAGTTCGGAGAGAAGAATTAAAGTATGTACAATATTACCTGGCTAATCTTTTGATTCTAGGGATAGATGCTTATATAAGAAATGTTTATTTGAATTTTAGGCAACTAATTTCTAAACATGAAGCTGCGTTGAGGAATTTATTTTTTATGGAAATTATGACGAATGATCTCGATAATATAGAAGTGTATACAGAGATAATAGATCCATCAAAAATAGATAAGACAAAATTAAATGAATATTTAGAGAAAAATAAATTGACCGAAGATCTTCCTGATGTCGAAAAAAGGTTTGTTTTTATATATACTAGTATTATACATTACTCATCACTATAATAGTAATTCAAAGTAATTGATTTATTAAAATCAATAATACTAGAAACATTAGAAACATAGAAAATTTATATTAATAACCTTTCCGCTTTAAATTTTTTTTAAAAGCACAAATACTTCAAACACCTCAGGGAAATCTCCAAGTTCACAAATTAATACACAACAGTCTCAACCACAACCCCAGTCTTCAAATGATCAAAAGGCTCAGAATAAAAAGACAAGACGTGTTTCATTACCACCTGCTGAAAAAATGATTACAAGGTTACACAGTGGTGCAATTAAAGAAAAAAGTGTAGCTGAAATCATAGAAAATGCTGAGGTAAGCATACAAATCTGATAGATAATAAATAATTTTTTATTTAAAAATTAAATAAATTATGAAATTTTATTACACTATTTTTATTTTTTTTATTAAGCAGCGAAACCAATTCGGGGTCTCCAACACATCTACTTCAAATATAACATCACCTACATCTGCTACGAGTTTTAGGTTGCCCACAGTAAAATTAAATGTACCTCAAAGAAGACATTCTTCTCATAAATCAAATATGGTTTCTCAAAAATCTGGTGAAGGAAGGCAACAAAATGCTATTAGTAGATCAGATAATACCTCACGTTCTATGGATCGTGAATCCATTATATCAAATTTCACTATACAGCCTTTACATAAACTAGTACAAGATACAACAAAAGCAGTAACTTCTGAAAATTGGGATGTATGTAAAAATTAATAATAACAATATTTATAGCCATTATTAAAAAACTATATTTTTACTCGATAATGTATATATCTGTTTCAATTATTTATTATTATAGACTGCTTGTGATGAGACTATTTATGCAAGGATATTACAACGTATAGAGGAACTCAAAGATGAAGATTCTTGGAGTTTTGAACAGATTGAACCCTTCATTGATCCACCAAGGAAAAAAACACATCAAGATTATTTATTGGAAGAGATGGTAGAATTTTCATTATAATTAAAGTTTAATTATGAGCTAGTATTAATAACATGTATATATTAATAGAAATGGTTAGCAAAAGATTTTAAATTTGAGAGAAAATGGAAAATTGCAGCAGCTTTTCATATGGTTCGTTGGGTTATGGAATGGCATGAAACTGATGACAAATCTTCAATATGTGTTAAATGTGTTAAGGTATATGCCGATTTATGTCAAGATTTCAGTATATCTGGCATAATATGGAAATATCGTTAAAGAGTTTGTGCCCATATGTTATATAAATAACGTAATGATTTTTTTTTAATAATCTTTTATGAAACTTGCTATTTTATTTTTTAGCCTCATAATTCCTCCCCAAATTCAGTAGAGTCTTTAAGAAATAAAATTATCAACTTGTCATTAAATGATATCGTATGTACATTAGAAACACAAGATGGGCAATTTTATGATATCGAAAAGGCTTTCCCGGAGTTACCGGCATACACACCACCTAAGCCTTCTCCTGATGATATTTATATTGACGAAATTCATTGTCATCGTATTATTCCTGTATCGAAAATTATGTATAGACGTCCTAGGAAAGGCAAGCTCATCTAACAAATTATAATTGGTCATATTATCCATATTGTTTTATTTTTTAATGTTTATCAATCTTTAAATTTTGTATTAAAGAGAAACACAATGTCCGAAAAGGAGAATATAGTACTATTCGTGAATATCAAGATGAGGATCATTATTATAAAAAAATTAAAAATGAAAATTCTGATGAGGCTGAATTAATCGATGATGAGAGTTACTCTAATAAAAGTAAAACTTTTTTTTTACATAAAACCATTAGGTTAAAATTAGATGCTAATTATTTTCTTTATTGTTTTTGAATTATTTTTAGTTTTCTGGTCAGAATCACATCAGAACAATAAACAAATAAAAGATTTAACAAAGAATTTTTCAAAATTTGACACACCTAAATTACGTCGTAATTTTAACTTGACAGAATCAATAAAACGAGTGTCTAAAATTCGCCAAGACAATATCACTAAAAATCAAACTCAAAGAAGAATACATGATCAACATATATCATCCCGAAGAATTGCAAATCCAATGGAATTGAGTCATATCAAGATTGAACAAGAACGTCAAGTACAAGCAGTATTATATGAACAGCGACATGCTGCAGCTGTTGCTTTTCAAGGACACGGAAGACCAATTTACATGAGATCACAAAATCCAATAATTGCACAAGGAAGAACATCATCTGTTGCTGTCGCAAATGCGAATCATATTCAAGCTTTTGTAATGCAAAGGCAAGCACTAGCTCAGGCTCAACAGCAGCAGCAAAGACTTTCTCAACAACAAATGACGCCTAATATGACGCCTAATATGACGCCCAATATGGCACCTAATATGGTACCTGCTTCTCAAGCTCAATCTTTACAAGTTCAACAATATTACAATTCACAACTTCGAGGTCAACAATTCCAATTTTAAATAATATTATTTATATCACTAATATGAGACGTATCTTTAAATAATTATATAATTAAATTCAATTTTGTCAAATAAAATAAAAAATTTAAATTTGTACTTATTATTCATGTTATCAGTACAAGAGAGACTTTATATATAAAAAACAAGTTTGTGATCAATGATAACATAGTTCTAGAGTGCCCAATTCACGAAATAAAAAAACATCATTTATTTTTTATTCGTATTACATACATACATTAAAATGACGATGGTTTAAATTTCAAGGAGATGATTAAATATATGTAAATTTTACAATTTATAAGAATCCAATAAATTAATAAATTTACCCGGCCTATTAAAATTAGATAATAAAATTATTATTAAACGTTTTTTTTTAAAATTACAGACACAATAATTTATACCTTCTTCCTCATGAATCTGATCCCCAATAATCATCTTGATGATTGGTTTCTGTACCCTCATCCCAATAATTTTCTTGTTGATTGGATTTTGTAATTTCGACATCACAAGATGCATCTACATTATCAGTGCACAAACATAAATATATAATTAATATCAGCACTTTTATATACATATATACACAAAGATATTTACTTTTCATGCAATCTTCTTTATTTTCCAAATTATTGGAGTCCAATTCGTTATTCTCATTATTGTTTTCATTCCAAATATTACCAGTATTATCCGCAATATGTTGTTCTTGCTGCTCAGCCCAACTATTGCCATCGCCGAACCTCTTATCCTCATTTAAATTGCTTGAAAATTCCTTTGATTGATCACTGTATCGTCTAGATCCACCACCGTCATCTCTTTTACTAGCACCTCGTTCACTTCTGCCACGCCCTCGCCCCCTTTTCCCGTCTCCGCGTGATGAATTTCTTGTGACATTTCCTTGTTCGTCATCATTATCATTGTGTTTTTGTCCTGCATCTTCCTTCCAGCCAGTTTCATTCTTTCCTCTATCCCATTCTCTATTGTGACTATTTTCTATTTTTCTTTGTGCATTCCTTTCACGTTCCATGCTTTTATATATTATAAATATTATAAACACTTTTATGAAAAGACATTATCTTTTTTTATTTAACAAAAATTAACACATACTAGGTTTCTTCTTGTAATTTTTTTTTTTGCAATTCGCGTCTCTTTCTTATTTCTTCTTCTTCTTGAAGTATCATCTTTTGTCTTTCATAATCTTCTAAATCTCTTTTGTTTCTTTCATCTTCCTCTTTACGAAACCTTTCTTCCTCTTCTTCAACTAACTATGTTTTCATAATATATAAACATAGATAGATATATGTACTTATTTATTCAATAAAATTTTATTATAATATATAAATAAATAAATAATAATGAATAAATACTTTTCGTTTTTCAATTAATTTTTTATTTTGTAAACTCATTTTTTCCATTAAATCTTTTAATTGAGTCTCGTTCATTCTATCCATTCTCTGAATATATGAATATAAGGTTTGAAATAAAATAATTGATTGATTAACATCACCATCATAATAAAATAAATAAATTGGTCGTTATATATATATACGGTTTTCAATGACACTAACCCGAGAAACACCACCTGATTTTACTCGGTTCTCATTAACATATGGAGCTGATCCTCTTTTAGGTGCATGTATGCTCTCATATAAACTTCCGGGTTTTCTTTCCTTGGGACTTTGTTCAGGGCTGTAATCTTCATTCTTGTTGTGGCGATTGTTTTTGTTGTTATTGTTATTATTATTATAATTGTTGTTATTACTATTATCATCATTATTATTATGATTATCATTATGATCATCTATTTCAAAATTGAATTCAATTTATAAAATTAATTTTTTAAATACAATTCAATGTTTACATAATAATTTTTATATATATAAAATAGCCTACAATTATATCTATAGCCACCACCACCATTCGAAAAATCTCTTTGCCCATATCCTCGATAATCTGATCCTCCGCTGGAATTACGCTCAAAGTTATCCCAATTTCTTTGTGGCGATTCTCTTCCTCTTCCACCACGTCCACCACCACCACGACCGCCACCACGACCACGACCGCCACCACGACCACGACCGCCACCACCACGACCACCACCACGACCACGACCTCCTCTAGAAAACCTTCCTTTATTATTGTTATCTTGTACCTTTCCACCGTAAGTTGTTGAATTATCTTGAAAGCTCTCGATAGTTTCTTCCGGAGCCCACAAGTTATCTAAATTCTCAGTACTAGAGCCTCCTCCCCAATAATCATTATTCACATTTGTATTTTCTTCAATTGCTACATTTTCTCCCCATCCACTTCCTATTGTTGACGATACCTCTCCCCACCCATCCCCTGCTGGCAAAGATTCTTCTCCCCAGCCATTATTCTCACTCTGTTCTTGAACTTTTATACCCTCTCCTTGGACTTCACAAACCTCCGAGGTTCCGCCAAAAGTGTCTTGGACAGTTTTTGAAATTGTCAATTCCTCTGTTAATTCCGACACTTCTGTCATTATTAATTCTAGTAGATTTATTATTCTTACCTAAATGTTAAACTAAAAAACGTTTATCATTTGTTGCAAATTGACTGTACTCACTTAAGCTACCTGAACCAAAGATCGGGATTGCTGGTAAAAAAAATTTTCTTATGGTGAATGTTACACTGTATTCAAAAATATAGCAATAGGACAAATGAGGTGATGTTGGCATTAAAATTTACTACTGATTAGCAACATACTTATAAGGCTTCGTTTATATCTTCACCAAGGGTAGATTTAATAGATTTACAATATGTATATTTAAAGGTCTACACGTTTTACTATTGTATTCTTTCTTTAGCGCCAACCTTGCGCCAAGTATATATATCCGTGGGATTTATTGTTTAAATCGGTAATGTGATCAGTTCAGGCTGTTTTTTTAAAACAAAAACACGTTGAACCATGTCTTGTGTTTTAAACCCGGGAGTGAAATAACATGATGGTTTTTCACATAATAATAACCATTTGCATCCACAAGATTACGAATCTTGTAGATCCGGAGCATGCATTGACGGAGCTTATATCTTTGCGCTTATTATGAATAGAATGCACAGTAGCATATTGTAGAACTGAACAAGAAAACACAATTAATAATAATATTATTAATAAGACAAAATTATTATTATTAATATTGATAATAACAGCAGTAATGTATTAAAGATTAAAGATTAAAGATTAAATACGGAAAGAGAAAAATTACAAATGAAGCGAATAAAAGACAAGAAAAAAAGTGTCAAATGATGATGGCAAGAAGAAGGAAAGTTGATATACTTCAAAAGATTAGTAAGGTGATAGACAAAATGATGGTTAATTAATTGATTAATTAAAAAAATGATTTTATAATATATATATCTCACAAAATATATTATTGTTTATTAAAAATACTTATTTTTATATAATCTATTATAATCATAACAGATTTATTAATATTATTTATTAAAGAATCTCTATGATTTGTTTCTAAAATATTTAAATCTTCTATTCTAATTCCTTTTTCACCTGAATATAAATGTTTATGATATTTAACATGATTTGGCCAAACTATTTCATCAAAATAATTTGGTGGATCAATCCAAAATCCTATAATAATAAATAATCAATATCAATAATATTAATTAACTATACCATGTAAATAAACGATCTTTCTTCTCACCTTCCAATGTAATGTATTTAGACCTTGAATCTCTTCTTTCTTTCAAAATTTCATAATCTGCTTGAATAAAAAATTTCAAATCTATTTCTTTAAAAATTTCTTTTTCCCAATACAACAAAAATCCATCAATTAAAATAAATTTCCAGTTATCAATATTATCATCTTTATCAACAGTATTATTATTAATAATTACATCTTCAATTTTTTTTGACAATTCTTTTACTAAATTATTTGGTAATTCTTTGATAGTTTTTTCATATAATTCATCAGTTTTTGATTTACTGATATCATCATTAATATTGTTGTTGTTGCGTAAAATCTTTAAAGTCTTATGAAATGATAAAAAGTTTATTGCTTCAGGACAATCCCAATTTTGTAAATTTGTCTTAATATCTAATGGAATTTCCGAATCAGGCTTTAATATATTAATCATTACAATAATGTGCATAAATTGTGAGGATTAATTTTATTTATTTTAAATTAGCAAATAAATAATTTACCTTGAAAAAATCATCTTGGAAAAGTATAATTGGGTTTGGTAAGATTTTTTCAAGACATTTTACCAAAATCTTTTATTATAATTGTTATAGTTAATATTATAAATATTTGTATATATTTGTATTATCATTATTACTTACAGTTTTTCCTGAACAAGATACTCCACTAAAAATAATATCGAGTGAATTGTTTTCAAATTAGTTTTTGATTTAAATATATGTAAGTATAGTTCAATCAACTTTACCTGACTCCTATAGTAATTATTTTTTTATTCTTTTCGGTCATTTTTAAATTTAAACAAGAATTGCGAGACCAGAAACGTTTATTAATAAATTTGTTTAACGTGGAATCATTACACGTGATTGACAAAAAAAAATTGCGTTCCCAAATAGTATTGTGTTATGAACAACAAGTTTTGTAATCGAGGATGTGCAAGTGAGCAGGAGAGACCGTTCTGGGAATACAAAATTAACAGGGAGGGACACAAAAATTTAACTCACGCAATTTGTTATTGACCAATTAAAATCGTGAATTTGATAACGTAGAAATGAATGTGTTTGATTCATTTTGTCAACAATCACTTCACCAACAATTATTTCGTTAACGAATTTAAGAAGTTGGAAGCAACCACGCGACGAACCATCGAAACAGTCTAATAAATTAAATCGTACCACTCGAAAATGTATTTAAAGGGTTGGTTTTCGACTTGGTTGAAGAATAACTCTCTTCCTAACTCTTCTCTTGACCATATCTCTCGACATAATCAAAATAACCCTAACATAACGAATGTCAATGAAATGATCGCAAGCGCGACCAATTTAAGATACA